ACAGAAAGATAAAGAGATAGAGGATGTGATTTACCTTCATGAGTGGCAGCGTATGTGATGCCCAAGCAGTATTTGTTGCGTTAACCCCTGGACTGGAAAGGATGGGCAGAAAAATTGTTCTACAGGCACGACATTCTCTGACAACTCACTTAAGCCACCATTTGCCCTGAAAGGCTTACTGAAGTCTACAAATGAATCATCAGTCATGGAAGTGAATGACTGCACTCACTCTTTTAAGAATGCCCTATCCACACATGAGCACAGTCTCGCTTATAGTGAATAGCTGCAGATGGAAAATTACACCACCCCACACACGTACACAAACACAAAACAATGTCCATTAGTGAAATGCAGAAACTGAAATTAGGGGAAATGAAATATGTGAACAAACAGCTGGCGAAACATCCGGGCACTGTAGATAAACTGGCCATATGTACTACATTTGCATCATATGCAAAATGGAGGGGTTATATTAGTTTGTGGAGGATGATCATGTGCTCTGATCTAATCAGTGCTGTCAGACATAATCATATGGGCAGATGGAGAAAGACCTTAAAAAACTAAAACTATATACAACATAACTACCAGCAGTTTACTGTTTCAACGCTAAAACACTTCCTTGTATGTGTCCATGATTTCATCAGTCGATATAAAAGGATATGATGCATAGGAACGGCTTCTTATATGCCATCAAACCCTGCAGTCTGTGGCAAATTCTTCAAGGATACTTTCTTTGAAAAAAACACAACTTTTGCTTAGAATTGGGTCCTAAGCACCAGATCTATGTAGGAGAAAGTTATAAATGGAGCCTGAGGTGAGTAAAATATTGACTGCTTCCCATTTAACCTTCTCACTTTATCCATTTTTTCTCTCTTTCTCCCTAAATCCCTCCATCCCTCCCTATGGGGCTCAGGGTCTTAGTGTCAGGCAGAATTCTCTTTGAGGCCTGCGCCTGTCAACCAGCCACCACTCAGCTCAGTAACCACTAGATTCAATTACACTACAGGAGAGACCAGGAGCGATGATACTGAAATCATTATGGGCTAAATCCAACTTGTAGAAGGCAGTGTTTGTGTGTGTGCTGTGTAAAGAAGATTGCGTTTATTGTGTGCAGGATGTAGTAGTTAAGTCACAAATATTTTATGACTGTCATTTCAAAATAAATGTATTCCACTGCAAATTAGACTTGGTTTTGTAAGTTCCCAGAGAACCTTGCAACTGCAAATATATTTTTCATTTAAATACGGAAGGTGCTGCTTTAGAGCTGAAATATTTGTTTGTAACCTGGTAAACAAATTACCTTTGGATGCTGTAACCCGCTTAGATACAGGGCAGAAGACGATAAAAGATTAGGGATTGAATTTCCACTCAGCAGTGAACAAAGGCAAAGAAGAAAGGAATATACCAGATTCATCTATGTTCTAGCTGACAGCGACAGAGGGCACATCAAAAAGCAGGTGCCTCTGTTTTGCTGCCAGAGCCCACATCAAGCACTAAACAGCTCATTCACAAGCGTAATAGGAGCTCTCAAACATCCTCTGCCAATATTATCTGAAATATCAATGCCTTTGTGTGTGTCTGTGTGTTTAATGCGAGAAATGCTGTCATACTATTCAACTGAAAATTGTTTGGAGGAAGTAATAGCCAAAAGTTGGGGGCTAAAATGATGCTGGTTTAAATTCCTCTCTTATGTTTCATAGAGGCTTTGTTTTGGGCAGTATGCCACAAAACAAATATTAATATTATTTAACATTAGATACTCATAATTGTCTTAGGAACGAATAACCTTTGGATATGGACTCCTGTCACTTTGCTTCTATTAAGGGAATTCTATTAAAATAAACCAAATACAGAAACTTATATTAATCAGATCAGACTGAAGGGCCTTTCTTTTTTTTAGATGTCTGACTTTCACCTCAGGGGTTTCCACCTTGGGTAGCCCTGTTCTATAACAGCCGTAGTTCATCTGAGCTTACTGTAGGTTAGAGAGGGACATTGAGATATGGCTGATAGAAAATAGAGGCTGAGGAGGGATTTGCTCACCTGCCTGACATACCTGAGAGACAGTAAACAGATAAAGTTTGGATATCTATCACCTGGAGCCGCTTGCCTGTCTGCCTGTTTGCCAATACATTTAATCCATCTATGTGCTGCATTACAGCGCTGGTCTGAAGTCGGATATACAATCTTGTGTGCATCATTACTGCGTTATCGAAGTCAAGATTCCACTGCACTGCGTATCTACTGTAGTTAGGGAGGAATGTGGGTATTGGCAAAGGGATGAAACAGAGATGGTATTTAAATTCTGCAATGCTATAAGTGGAGGGGCTCAAACAAAAAAAATAAACCCAACTTTAACAAAGTTATACCTTGGTAAGGTCATGGGAAGTATGGATAATATCTTTTAACTTTGAATAAGTCATATGACATATCTAATCCAATAACACAGAAAATGTGTTTTGTCTATTTATGTGTGTAGGACAGAAGAGAAAAAGGGATTCAAGGCAGAAAAGACTGCAGAAAAAGAGAAGCAGAAGAATTCAAGAGACTAAAAGAACAAGATAAAACAGTGTTTGTGGTCAGGGGAAACTTACGCAACCGTAGGAGATGGCACACACTGGGCACACACATAAGTTATTAGTGTTGGCATATGATATTATCACAGTGGCACTGACAGAGTGACAGCCTCCCAGTGGGTTACTGTGAGGGTCAGGCAGCTGGGGGTGTGTCTGTGTTGTGTGTGATTTTTTTTTTCGGGGGGTGGGGGTTATTCTTTAAGCTCTGGATGGTCCCACACTGTCAATAGAGGGCTTGCTACATAGAGGACTACCTGTCGAACTTAGGGAATGTGAAAAAACACTTCTCAGTATGTTTTGGGCTCACTCCATCATCTCATCCAATAATGGATTTGGGTTGTGGCCCATCTGCTGTTCTATCAAAACATTATTTCTGGTGATAGGCGTCGCTCCTTGTATCCAGTCTCTGCTGCTGGCCTGAGTGTGTGGATGCTGTAAATCTGGCCAGCTCATTAGCACTGACAGAGAGAATGCTAGCAGCCCACCTGCTCCCTTTCACCCTCTTTATGGCTCTACAAATTAAAACGACATTTACACACACTCTCCCCCGCTCTCCCTATTGCACTGCTCACCTTGCCACTCACACTGCTTCATCTGCTCACCGCTGAGCTGCGTCAGGCCCACCTCAATAAACCTCCTCCCTGAACTATTCGTCTGTTCCAGCAACCCTAAAGCATTTTGTGTTGTTTTCTTTTGACTTCTATCAGTCTGTTTTGTATTCTGTGTCACTTTGCTTGTGTTGAATCTCATCATTTGAATCCTCTGTCTTTCTGTCATCACTCGTCGTTTACTTTTACTACTCTGCCATCCTCCACATCCATCACCCTTTCCCATCTTTTTTTCTCTGTGTACAAAAGTTCAGCAGCACTATCTAGTGGTGCTGATGGTACTCTAACCCCCAGTTACTCTGGCATGTCCAGTGAGTGACAGCACGATGGACTGATGTCGGCGTGTTTGCGCTGCCGGCTGGAGGTCACTTAATGTCAAAGTGGTAATGAGAACATAAAAATGCAGGTAATGAAAGTTATAGGAAATCAAGATAAGGTGAAGAAAGGGCAGAGAAAGGGGAAATGGGGTACAATGAGGAAGAAGCTACATGAAAAAATTCCCAAAACCACCATTTCCAGGTAGAATAGTTGCAAGGCTTTAATGAAGCCCTCTGTGCACAGATTGGACAGCGTGTTGCATTGTTATTGCAGTATTATTATGACATTTTTTCCAACTGGACAAAATATGAATGTGTCTCATTTATCAAGCGAGGCACACAAACAAATACATTCATTGAGATTTGTGATCAAACACATTCCACTGTCCTCACATACACAAAGCTTGCATATTTTGTTTTGACTATGTTGTGTCTCACTGTTAAAGCTTTCAGCTATTTTCAGTGTAAAGAAACGCTGCTGGATTAGAGACAACGCTGTGTCTGGTCTTTTAAGGAATCTGATCTGTTACCACATCCCATTGCCTCAAATAAAGAAGCCTACATTTTTTAAGCACTAGGAGGGCAGGACTGACATAAGCAATAACTCACTGAGGGATGCAAGGGAACTAACAATATGTGAGCGACGGAGGGTCAAACCCAGCTCTGTTTAATGGCTTTCCAGAGGCTAAACTGAAGTCTATTGTTTGCAGAGCTTGGAAAGTCTGTATGTGGACTGTAAGTGAGTCCCACACAACTGAGCAGTGGCTGCATTGGCCTGAGAGAACCTTCCCTGGTGGGTGGTCTAAATAGCCTCATCTAAACAGTCCTTCTTTCTCCCGTTTATTTGCCTGACTTTATGGATTGGGGAGAGAAAATGCCAGTGGCTTTGAAGATTTGGTGAAGACTCAGAAAGGGGTATGTGCTCAATATCAACACAACAAGATATGTGGATGTGTGTGCGGATTTCAGCCCCTGTTTGAAGTCCTCCACTCCATTCTGGCAATTACTTCTATCAAGGATTAGATGAGGGAGAGGGCAAAGAGGAGAGGGAAAGATGGACAGAAGTGAGCGCTGAGAAGGGAGGTAGCAGATTTAGAGAGGACAGAGAAGCGAGAGAATCGGAGAGGAGAAAAGAGATTGAGGTCTCCACTGCAGTGAATGTTTTTCCTCCCTATAAAAAGAGGCTGTGCACACTCTCTAAACATGAGCTAGAGGACAACTCCTCAAATTGTGGGAAGATCACAGTGCAGCAAAAACACAGCTATTTCCAGGACATCAGAGAACGAAAAGCACTATGAATAGTTGATGATCACAGAAGTTGGATGTAGCCACCATGCAGGGTAACTTCCCATTACAATAGTCATAACATTGAGCTGAATTCCATACATGTTTTAACCTTAAAATCCAGAGTGAAACCTGTTTTTTTTTGCCAAAACACTTTTCTAGTGGATATGAGAGTGATAAGTTAGTAAGTTTTAATACATTCCTATAAGCCTTACCTCTGGGATAAAGACGGCATAAGGTTGCCCATGGAAGGTTGGTGCATTATCATTCACGTCTCCAATCTGGATGTTTACTTTGTCTTTGACCACCTGAGGGAGGAAACACCTTGGTAAAACTGTTCCAAAGCCACCTCCACATGTTACTTGTCAGAGAACTGTAGTCACTGAAAATGTGTATTAACCATACCAAGCCAAGATTCATAGTGAAAGAAAATGGGACAAGTGTGTGATAGATTAGCCGCGGGGGAGAGTAGGTTGAACGTCAGTATGTTTCAGCAACTAAACTGCGTTGAGTGAGACAGGTGTCGGAATGATTACATGTGAAAGAGAGAAATAAGGGCGAGATTGAAAGCGAGAGACTGAAAGGGAGATGGATTGAGAGAGATCTCTATGTGACATGTGGTCAAGCTATATCCAGGTGTCAGCGTGAGGCGGGAAGTGTCATAACTGTGATCACAGTGCAAATCTGTCTCTTACCTCTTGAATGTCACTCACGTAGAATTCGACCTGCATCTCTGACTTGGTCTGGCGGAGACAGAGACAGACGTCAGCATAAACTTTGCATGGGAATGTAGTGCAAAAGAGCAGTGCAGAAAAGCATACCAAGAAACAACAACGCCACTCTGAACTCAAAACCCTTTCTGTTTCATCTTTCACCGCTAAAGAGTATTGCACTTTTCACTGCTCTTTCATCATTTGATAATTTACATTCCATATCCTATTTTCAAAATTGTCCTGAGTGTCTTTTCTTGTATATAGTGATTTTGCTTTTGTAATGTGTAACATGTGTGCAGCAGTTTGGTGTTCATACCTCACGGTCGAGCTGTTGTCGGAGCCAGACTACACCAGTATCTTTGTTCACAGAAAAATACCTCATGGCCTCTTCTCCTGAAACACCATATATAAGGGGTTCCCCCTCAGGATCAATTGCCCTCAGCTGGGCCACTGATGAACCTGCCAGACAGAGATTTAAAGTTCAGAGGTCTCATAGGGCCAAAAGCCACGGTGTCTAACAAGATTTGATATTCATGGGACCTTCTATTTGCTAATTTAAAGAGCAATAGATCTAACACAACCACTGAAAATACACCCAAGATTCACTATTTTACCTAGATGTCCCATTACATCTACTGAGCCAACTAAAAGGAAATGTTGAGCATTTGTACCGTGATGCCTTTGTCTTGAAGAAAACAATATTGTTACCTGTCTGAATGTCACTATTAGATTGTTTGTGCCAGTACTATTAGTTTTTCTTCTCATTTACCCATTAAATTCACACAAAAAAGGAAGAAAACATCTTGATCTGCTGGGTAAAGATTGATGAGTTAGACAATTTGCTCCTCCAAGAAGAACTGAAATCATGTAGGTACAGAAAGCTGCATTTTCATGTTAAGGATAAAGATGGCATAACAACACACACACACACACACACACACCCTCCTGTGTAAGGGTAGAGGAGCAAAGGATTTTTAATTGGAGCTGCAGTGGTTCACAAGCTTCATTCATCACAGACACTGGAGTTCAGGCAGCCTGGCTAATCACACCCAGAGGTGGAGCGCCATCAGGATGGCTAATCCACCATGCTAGACAAATGTGTCAAAAGGGCAGGGCTGAGGTTAGGAGGGCCATGGAGGACAGCATCAAAACCCCCAGACCCACAGGGACAAGGCTCATTACTGTCCAGGGCAAAACTGCTTGGGTCAGTATCATTACAGGCTGAAGGGGAGGGTGTGCTGATATCAGTCACACACAATGGGCAGTGGTTATAAATATGTATGGTCTCTTTCCTTTCACAGAACACAAATATCCACACAAAACATACACACAGCTCAAATGTAGAGACACAAGGACATCCAAGTAGAGATAAACTGTAGTACATGCAGTTAGCTTTACAGTATTTATGGATTTCCAAAAAAGAGAAAACAGGGACTGCCAGTAGGGATCAGACGCTGTCTATGGTGCTATACTGCAGTCCCGTAGAGGTGGGCTCAAAAACCTGTAAACACGCTTACAACTAAATACCTTCACTCGCTCCAACACAAGTCTGTCATACCCTCATTCTCTCTTGCACCATTAATTCTGTCTATGAACCCAAACCTCATTAACAACAAAGTGTTTGTCTTTGTGTTTGCCCTGTGATGGCAACCTCACGCAATGCATGCTGGGATAGGCTTTAGCTTCCCCTTTCAACCTAAAAAGAGAGTATTGAATAAGAGTGCATTGATGGGAGGTTAAACACACAGATCATACACACATGCAATGAGCGCACATTCACACACACACATACAAACACACACACACACACACACACACACACTCACTCATCCTCTCTCCCTCCCTGCAGGTACTCGGTCAGACAACAGCAGTGAAGCCAAACTAAATCAAGCCTGTCACTTGTGCACCAAAATGCTTAACACAACGACCAATTAGGCTTCACAATCACACACCCCTCTCGTTTTATTAATACACCCCATTTTCCTATGAAAGGGTGGCAAAAATGACTAATTAATATCACGATTTATGAACCCCTCTCATTGCGTCTAATGAGATTTATGCAAATTCAGCTGCTTTCAATATGAGTTATAATTTGGTTGAAGACAGTGCAAATTACGCATTTTACCTCATAGTCATCAATAATAGCTGATTTTTTTCTCCTCCTTCCTGCCCTCTCGACTGTGGAGGAATTGTATGCTCCATGTGGGTAGACATACACTCGAGTGAAGGATAACAAATGAATGATTTGAGACTAAGTGTATGAGAGCCACAGTCTTGTGGAAGATTAACTCCTACTCTGGAAAAAAGATTTGAACTAAAACCAACCAATTAAGCATATGGGTTAGATTCTCTGCTCAGATTAAGAGCAAGTATAGAGAGCTGAGGAAAATCATTTTGAACAACATTTTGTTGCCTCTTACTGGGATTTATTTGGGGTTAAGGCTTAATTGAATTTCACAACTGAAGTTAGGATTAGTTTGGTTGAGGTACATTTTAGTTTTAGGGTTAGGTCTTCTAGAAAAGAAGACTTTTCAGAAGAAAGGTAAGGGCACAAAGTGTTGAAAATCAATATTTAGTTAAAACAAACGCGTATAGCGTAGGTATCCTACTAGTGCTTATCTGTAACACTGTGGCACCAGGCCCTTTCCCTGACAAATGATGCTATTTAGCACCAAGTGATGCCAGTATTACTGTTATGAATGATGCAGTGCACATTAACATTGCCCCTCCCCTTCTCCTCTACTCTGCAACACTGCTCCCATGACAAGAGCGATGGGCTGGAAGAATCATTTCTCTACCTCACCTTTCTCTCTCCTATTGTCCCCTGAACCTCTTACTCTCTCCCCAAACTCAAATACTGAACCCTCTTCTCCTTCTGTATTCAGACTGTAAGGTCAAACCAGAACAACCAAAGCAGAAGTAAATACAACAAACTAAGGTAAGCTAAAGACATCTGGGGGCCCACCAGGAGCACTTGCCCATCATACTGACCTGGTAGATTTAGAGACGTGAGATGTGTTTCCTCCCATGGGTTAAATGCAAAAGTGAAGGGAAGCCTTCATAACTCGCTCTGTGATAAGTAGGATGCCAGAATACATGCACAATTTTATTTAGCCTCTAAAAACCCCAGACTCAAGTTGTGCTAGTTTCCAAAAATACCAAATATTTCTAAATTAATTGAATACATGTGAAAGAATACATTAGTACATTTTCCAACTGATGTTCTTATGCAGCTTTAATAATTGTGATCCTAAATATTTCACAGAAGGAAAAAACTATAGAATACATACTGTATGTGGTTTTATCAAAATGGTTTTGAAGTTTTAAAAATGAGAAGCATTGTGGTTTAAATGGTTAGAGATGGAGAGCATGTACACAATAAAGGAAACATAGCAGAATGACTTTAAAAAAGTGCAGAGGAGGTGAGATGTGTAGAAGAAAGTAACAAATAGACTCCATTTACTTCTCCCAAAGTTAAAGTAGGACTTCTGCATTAAGACAAAGCATTGTTGCTTCACTCTGGCAGGGCTGAAAAATGCACTGCCATAAAACATACACAATGGCACAGCCTGGAGAGGCAGGAGACTGAAAGTGATTGGGAGGAGGAGAAGAAAAGTCGGAAGACTTGCTAACTTACACACAACAGCAGCCGCATGTTTTACCCAGCCCAACCTTTTAGGAAAGGCACGAGGACCAGTGGGTACACTAAATCAGCCACTGGAGGACATCAATCCCTGCTGGATCAATAGGACTCGCGAGTGTTAGACGGGGACTAGGGTCGGCCCTGCCCTGGGGCCTCAGGCTTGAGAAAGAAAAGGGGCTATAGGCCAAAGCCCTGTTTATTATGTTGGTGACATCTCTAGACCTCTCGTTCATCTGAGCGCTGATTCAGTGGGACAGGCACTGTCAGCACTGCAATTTCAGGCATGTTATGAATTATAGCTTTGAATTTTATGGAGCACGGAGGCTTAATGGATATATGGGCAATGTTTGGAACGCTATCTACCAAAGCAGGAAAGATGAAACCACCTCAAGAGTCTCTCCATTTGGAGAGATGACACACTGCGGAGGAAAAGCAGAGAGAATCTTAATCTTTACCTGCTTTGTATAAATATTTGATGAATTGACTCGAGGCACGGCCAGTGAGCCTCAGGGTTGAAGTCATGCAATCACTAGGCTGATGAGTCAGTGCGATGCCACTCATGTTACCACACGTCTATCCACTGACAAGGGAGCCTTCAAACACATCAGCAACACCAAGTTGAAGCCACGTTGCCTCACATCAATCACTCACATCAAAAATTCACACAGGAAAATACTGTCTTCAGCTAACTGGCAGCATGAGCTAATTTAGTACAGTGAAGACAAACTGAACAGTGCACTCTATAGAGAAAACCCGTAAAGGAAAGCCTCCACATCCGTCACATGTGATTATGAGATTGTGACTCTAACCTACAGTGTTTTCCTCTAAAGAGGGAGCGTGCAAAACCCCGTCCTGCTAATTGACTGTGTGCCATTATAACAAAGTGGGTCTGTTTCTTGCACACCAGCATTACAAAAAGTGTGTGTCGGCATCTGTTTGAATCAAAGCACTATCTATACAGTTATGAACTGGTAGAGAATAGGACACACTCATGCAGAAAAACAACTTTACTTTTGTAAAAATGAGAAACAGGAATATAGCTGTTAACTGTGGTCATTACAGCAATCACCAAAATATGCATTTACCTCAGACTGTTAAGACAAAAGGTAGGTGTTAACTTTAATGATTGAAGAGTGGAACTATATGCTGCATATTTGTATTGATTAGGCTGACTCCAAGCCAAAATCCTCTGCGGTCATACCGACTGTGTCAGTTATCTGGCTCATATGAAGCACCTAGTGGGCAATTTGTAAGTCAGATTCCATCAGGGGATTTAACACTGTTTCAGGCTCATCCTTTTAAAAAACCTCTTGGGGGGCACATGCTTTAGCTTGCACCCACACCGCCAGTCAAACACACGATAAATTAAACTCTCTTCTTTTTCTTCAGAAATAAGATGGAAATTAGTTGAAATGAACCCATCACCGCTGTCTCTGCCCACGGTGCTGTGTGCTGCGTTAATGTTCAGAGATTCAAGCTCCTTCTGGGAAGCCAGTTGGATGTGGAAATAAACTAAGCAGATCTACCTGGAATGACAATAGTGCGGTGGCCAGAAAGTGAGTGCTTGGACCTTTATTTCCATACAAAGAGATGTGTATGTGTTCAGGGGGCATCTTTAATAGCGGAAAAGACAATGCATGCAGATAGTTTATTTCCCCGTAAGATGAAGACAGACATGGGGAGTGACAGTAAAGCCTTTTCCCCAGGGTGGTCAATTTAGACAGCTAGCAATAAAAAAAAAGACAAAAAAGATGGAAAGAAAGAAAAAACTCACTGATTATGTTTGCAAGCCTTTCGTGCTACGAATAAACAAATG